AACACTGGCTTCAATTTTGAATGACCCATTGGAAGGAGACAAATGAGACAGACCATCCTGAGTCCCTCTTTTCTTCCCCCAAAGTGTTGTAGCAGTATAGCAGTTGTGCCAGACTAAATGTTGTCAGTCTTTAATGTAATTTGTCTGTACTAAAGTTAATGCTGCACTTCATGTTCTATATTTATATCCATCTATTCCCTTTCATGTCATATAAGTTCTAGTGTGTGGGATGCATAATGAGACTGAAAAATAATTTTTAACCCTGTGAGTTCTACAGCTTCCTGCAGGTAGAGAAGGTTGAGGTTACTTTCCTGTTAGATGGTTATGGTGTGCTTTACTTTTTTTTTCCCCTGACTCTATTACATTGTGCTATTGCAAAACCATGATGTGGAAGTTGCAAGAACCTTGGTTGTGAGGTTTTTATGCAGTGCAGCAATGCATAACTTATAATATTGTGAGGGTGTGCTGGTTTTGCTGCCTGGAACTTTGCTTAAGAAGTGGCTTGGGATACCCTCCATCTGTGAAGGGGTTTACTCCTAGGCTATAGCACTCTTACTTAAATGCTGTGGCCCTCTTACTAAAACGAGGCTCCTACTAAACCTACCCTGAGAGGACTCCTGGAGTCCTGCTGTGGTTACAGTCCAGGAGACATTTCTGTCCATCCTTTGGAGGTAGCTGGATGAAGTTTCTCTTCTCTGGTGGGTGAATTATACTGTGGAGATGCCTCTTCAAGCATTCCCTTTCCTGCCTATATAGAGAAGCTTGTAAGATTCATAATTTTCCTTGCTGCTCCTATGAAGTGTTTGTCACCTTTTCTTTTTAGAGGGTGAGACAAACGTTAAACACCCCTAAAATTTTATTTTTATATGTATTCATGTTGTTTCAGAGATGTTTCTTTAGGTTGATGCTGTATAAGGTAAAGGGCAGCAGGGGCAGCAAGCAGGACAATCAAGATGAACAGGTTCATATCCATAGATCTGCTCTCAAGCAGACAAGGACCAGATTTGAGTCATTGCCTGGCTTTAATTTCTCCAGACCAAGTTCTACTTTAATGTCCCCCTGACCCTAAAGCTAAACCCCTTCTCCTTTGCGTGCCTTAGTAAGTACTGAGAACAGATGCTCATCTGCTGTAAATAGTCTCAGCTCTGACGTCAGGGCTGTCCCAACAATTGACATCAGCTGAGGACGTGTCTAAGGCTAAGTTTAACCCACAGGTATTACAGGATGATTTACAGAGGCTCTTTGCAGTGTAAACCATATGTTTTATAGCTGCTGAGAAGGAGAAGAAAGTGTCTGATAACAAGCAAAGGCATATTTAGTAGCATTTTTGTATGGTTAAAATTACCCAGTTAGGGGTTTTTAGGAAATACATTTGCCATGATACACAGCACCATGTAGTTCAAGCACATAGCACCCCAGGCATTCAATTTATCACAATCTATCATGTTAATGTGGCTAATTTGACACTGTTTCCTGCAAAATGCTCTCAGACAGTTCTATGACATGCTAGCCTGTGGGAAGGACCCTAAAGAAAAGCAGACCTCAGTGCTATGAATTTGAGGGAAGGAGGAAGAACAGATCTCAGTAGTTCACAGAATTCATAGAATATCCTGAGTTGAAAGGGACCCACAAGGATCATCGAAGTTCAAATCCTGACCTTTCACGTGACAGCCTCAAGTCACACAATGTGCCCAAGAGTATTGTCCAAAATTTTCTCGAACTCTGTCAGGCTTGGTGCTGTGACCACTGCCCTGGGGAGCCTGTTCCAGTGCCCAGCCACCCTCTGGGTGAAAACCCTCTTCCTGATATCCAAGCTAAACTTCCCCGGCATAGTTTCATGCCATTCCCTCAGGTCCTCTCACTGATCACCAGAGAGAAAAGTATTATGTTTACTATGCTATAATATTATATAAATAATGTATAAAATATAACATTTTATTAATTCATTAGTATTTCTATAATTCACCTAATTTTTGAAAACAGCTGCAGTGAAATATTGTTCCTCCCATGGTGTGTGTAAATGACAGCTAATTGCAACTAAACGTGCCTCTGAAGGGGAGGGGTGGTTCTCTGAAGTCTTGCTGTGGAAGAGCTAGATAATGCACTGAAATGTGAGTGAGAGGCAGCAAGGACAGAGAGTGTGTATCTCCTGGAGAGAAAGAATTCAGCTTAAAGGTCTGGAGCCTCTCTCTGGGCAGCTCCTTGCTGAGCAGAAACAGGCAACTGAAGCAATGCTGTCGAATCTCTTGCAGCCCCCAGCAGCAATTTCAGTGTTTCCCAGTACTTGAGAACTGACCTGGAGGCTGTGTTAGTGCAGAGCTGCTAGGAAGTGAGAGAAAGCACTGCCTGCCCAAACTGCTAATCCTGAAACTGCACCAGGCTGACCTTGGCATTTGATGCAGGGTTCCTGCATCCTGTGGAGCTGCAATTCCTCGTAGTTTGTGTTAAGAGAGAGTGCTAACCAGCCTGGACTGCGGAGGGGTGGATCTGGAAAAGAGAAAATGAGCATATAGAGAGAATGAGAATCAGAATGAGTGACATTCCTGTGGTCCAGCAGCCACAAGTCAAAGTATAGATGCTTGTCAAGAAGGAATGTCATTGCCAGCACAGTGAGGGCTGTATGTCCTGGTCTCCCTGTGAACTGGAGATGCTTTTGTCTTTATGTAGCCCCTGACAACATATTGTGACAGTACAGAAGTGAAAGGGAATGTGTAGTTAGGCATTACCTTCATAAGTCTCAGTTGTTGATCTATATGAGCTAAACATTCAAGGACAGAAAAGTACATAAGGAGAAAAAGCCTCTTTAATTACGCTGCTTGAGCTTGGATATCTTCATTGTTAAACATTTGCAAAGACAGCTGAGGACCCAAAGGGGATTATTTTGTCTATTATTAACTAGCTGCTGAACATCGTCTAATTGATACTGTATTGTCTCTTTCATTAATAAACATTACCAGCGTTTATGCAAAATTAGCACTTGTAAGTACTATCTATTTAAATGGACTCCTAAGTACAGATTAGTGCCAATTTCCTTTTGTAAGTTTAAGTAGTAAACTTGGAATGTCTTGCAGCCACTGAGTTCCGGCAAAAAAATTGATGCCACCTTGCATCTCTTGGATGGTATCTCCATAATGAAATCCAATATCTAGGCACATCCATTTGGTATATTAAAACATAAATGGTTTTACAGTGACATTGAAAACTTCTGACAAAACCCAGGGTTGTAACATCCAGATCTGTACATAGATGGGTGCATTTTGAGATAAAATTTGTGGGGCCTTTTATTTTTTAAGTTTCCATTGTGAATATGCACAAAGCTCCATCAGTAACTTAAGTTGAAAAAAAAAATCCACTTTTTCATTATAAAAGAGCTGGCTGTGGGCTATAAGCAGAAAAGTGAATGGAGCCAGGGATAGATACTGGAGACACAGGTCCCTGTAAGAAATCCCTCTCTGCACTGGATGTAAGTGCAGAAGCTGTGCAATGTCCTGGATTTATATTGCCTGCAATAATGGAGCAAACAAAATTTATCATAACCAGCAGGTGACTCGTACCTGGCAATTTCACCCCGGCTTGCTCACAATTTACCTTGTCAAAAGCACAGGTCTGCTGATGCATTCCTGCTTTTTTTTTTTTTTGAGGGTCAGGCTGAAGGATCCAGGGACCACTGCCTGGTTTTAGGGCAGTTTCTGTCCCTGCTTCTGGTGAGGCTGGCAAGCAAAGCAGAACAAGAACTTAAAACACAGCAGAATTACTCTGTTGTTAACATTAGACTGAGTTAGTTGGCTGGGAGTCCATTTATAGATCTGGATTGAGGGGTAATGACAAGGAAATCAGAGCGTGCCTTCTGGGGTGTATTTTCAGCCTGTAAACTAATGGGTTTGTTTACATACTTGAAATACAATGTTCCCAGGTAAGCATCTTCTGGGACAGATGAGTGTAATTTGAAGTATGTAGACATAGTAGAAAGGTTGCATGACATTGTGTTTGAAAAGCAAAACCCAACACCCAAATCCACCCACACAAATTCCAGATGTTTGTCATAATTCCAGATATTTTGTTAAAAAGTGTTGTGGCAGTTTCAGTTTGAAACTGGGCGGAAACACCAATTTAGTGTAATGGTTTTAGTTCACCAATTTGAGATTTCCCAGCCAACGCACCAATTTATGTGGTGGGTTTAGTGCTGGCCAAATTGCCAGTGCGCCCACTAGAATTATTTACTCATTCCTGCTGTGAGATAGGATTAGGAGAAAGGCAAAGCAGGCTCAAACTTTAAAGTGTATAAAAAGAACTTTATGAACAGAAACTAAAAAAAAAATAATAAGAATCAAAATAAAACCTTCAGAACATTTCTCCTCTCCCACACCCTCTTTTCTTTCACACTGACAATGTACAGAAACAAATCAGTCAGTTTGCTATCTCTAAAATAATCTTTCTTCCGTTCACTTAGGGAGAGGAGTTTCTCTTGTCGTGCTATGGAAACTTCTCCACAAGAAAGCAGTTCTCTTGTGGCTTCAGTGTCACAGCAAATCAGCTGCCCGGGAGAATGGAAATCTGATCACTGTGTAAAGGTTCCTCGCCTCGATTTACAGCTTTCCTCACAGCTGTTTTCAAGGGCTATATCAACTTATCGAGTATTTTAAGGATGAACTGTTCAAAAGCAAAGGTTCTCTTCTCTGTCTGTGAGATCACCTTCATCTCTGGGAACAGAGGTTCTTTTCTTTCCTGGGGGCAAAGGGTCTTCATCACTCTTCTCTCTCTCTGTTCAAACTTCTCACGGGATCACATCTACTTGTTCTGGCATAGATGCCTTTGCTCATATCTACAATTTGAGCACTTCAGCTACCCCATACTTTTCAATGAGTTACAGGGAAACAGAGTCTGATGTATCAATTACATCTTCTCCATAGCCTTACAAGAGGATTTCAGCCCAAGAGTGAGGCATCTCCTCAATCCCTCCCATCTGGGACCTGACTTCCACTTCACTGATATTGGTGTCTTCATGTTGTTGCTCTAGGTGTCTTCACTCTGTCCTTTTCTCTCACTCGAGAGAGGATTGAAGGTCTGCAAGTCCCATCTGGGCAGTGAAAGAGTTCGTATCTCGCCTGAGGCCTGCAGAGAGTCCTTTGATCCCTGCCAGGTGTGGCCGGAGCTGTTCATGGTGGAGAATTTTTTGGCGGCTGTGCTGGGGGGCAGGCCAGGATCTCAGCAGCCAGGCTCGAGCACTGTGGCAGCGTCTGAGGGTCGATGGCTTCTCCTCCTACCCGGCAGTTCCTGGTGACACTCAGCAGTGGCAGCATTCCAGACACACCAGTCTGGCCGTGCTGAGGGGGAGAGGGAAGCAGCCAGGATCTCAGCAGCCGATGGCCTCCCCTCCTCGTTCCTAACAACCTCTGGGGCCGGGCCAGAACAGGGCAGGGCCTGCCCGGCCTGGCTGTGCAGGGGGCAGGGCCAGGCTGTTACCTGTGCTCAGTTCACCCTTTACCTGTGTGTTCACAGAGGCCTGTTCAGCTTTCTCAGTGGTTAACAGGCTGTCAGTTCTCAAAACTAATCGTGATTGGTTTGGAGGAAGCTCTTAGCAGCTCCTCTCAGAAAAATCAGTTCTCTGTGGGTGGCTTCTTCCCTCCTCACTGTGGGAAATGCAAGCATGGAGAGCTCTCAGTGCCTTGTGCATACAGGCTCAGAGATAGAGATGGATACCATGTTTAACCTAAGACCTTGGAGAAGGCTCAGAGAATTAGAACAGTAAAAGTGAAACAGACATAAAACAAAAATATAAGTTTGTAGTTGAAGTAGAAATATGTTTTAAGCCAACAGAAATATGTATTACGTTAGCAAAGCTTTATGTTAAGTAATATAGTAAAAGATTTTAAACTTTAACAATAGAACCTGTTATAAAGTTAGTTGGAAGGTTAAGATGTATCAATGTAAGTTTGTGAAGGGCTATATGATTGGTTAAAAAATGATGCATTGCAGCAAAGCCACGAAAAGCAAAGCAATTAATGATTGGCATAAAAAATGCTGGCAAGTTGTTGTAGAAGTCTGTAATTGGCTAAGAAACTAACATAAGGCATTGTAACTAAGAATTAAGTGGCTTCTGATATTATGGCATTGGATGTAACACCTTTAATGTGTCATCACCCTTCTATGAGACTGATGCCATGTGACAATAAACCATCTTTTAAAACATCTCGCAGTTGCCCTCTCATAATTTTAACCGCCCAATACTCACCAAATGCCATATATGCAAAACCAGCATATATACAAGTGTTTTCTCCTGCATTTAAGACAGTATATATATAAAAAGTTAAAAAAGAAACAAAACTAAGGTTGTCTTGTTGAAGCTGGTTCTGGAATTTACTTATTTCTGGGACCTCAGCTATGCATAGGTTACGAGTGCTCTGGGTTTGGTTTTGTTTTGTTTTATTGGGAGGTTTTAGAGGCTTCTGAAAACACAAACACAATACATCTTGTGGAAAATGCTCTGCTTCTTGTGATTTTCCTAAGTGTGGAAGATATACTGCAGGAGGCTGTTGTGTGAGCCACCTGTGGCAGGGTGCCATAGATGTCAGCCAGCAACCAGATTAGAATGAAGCATTGATTTACTATTTCTCTCCTGCCAGAAAATAATAGTCACTTGTCGTGACCTCAGGCTCCTGTTGCACTGCACTTGTAGACTTTTGTGCTCTCACTTTCCTGCTTGTTCCTGCTCTTTCTGTCTGCAGTCAGCTCCCGGTACCAGCTGATATTCCCACAGACACTTGGCTCCTGTTTCTAACATCCCCATGTCTGCATAGGTAGCACTGAGGAGCATGTGCAGATTCTTCCTGTTCTGGATCAAGTCCACCTCCAGCAGGAAGGAGCAATGTTTGCAGGATAAATCTTGCTCATCCCTGGAATCACAAACAACCTTGGGGAAGGCTGTTTGTGAGCAGCAGGGTTGGCACAGAGGAGTGGTATGCAAGGGGACCAGGGTCAGCACAGCTGGAAGATCCCTGCCACCACCAAACTCTACCAGGCTTTCAGCTTTCACTCAAAGTCTACTAGTTTCTCAGTGGATGACTTAAATTAGTTTTGGTTTTCTTAGTGTAAGCATCACACGTTCAGTAAACTCACACTGAAGAATCACTGTGTGATTTCTGCTGATGTCATCAAAAAAAGAAATTCACAGCAAGCCAGAACAGCTGACTATATTCTTTCATGCTGGTAGATGGTCTGACCAGACCCAACTTCAATCTTGTATCCTGTCATCTCACCTCATACTCAGCTTCTTCTCACCCTTGAAATATCTTCAAACTGGGTAGTGGCACCTGAGTTACCACTTCAGAGAGTGGGCAGTAACTAATTTTGAAGCAAAACAGGTGAGAGGTGCTGCATGGTCTGTTAGGATGAAACCAGCCAAGAAGGAAAAGTGAGTAAAAAAAGTGGGAAGAGGTATACAGGCTTTTGGAAAGATTTGCAGATAATTGGAATATATTTTGTATTATTTAAGATACCATCTGGCAACCGTAGTCTGCCCTTAGAACAGCCCATTAAACAAGAAATTTTTTTTAAATGTACCACAAAAGTAAAACTTGTGTAAAAACCTTGTTGACATACATTTAGAATAAAGAAGTTGTGTCTTAGTGCTAAATGAAATAATTTGAAGGTTGAATTTCTTCTTTACTGTGAAGAAATATGTCCTGCATAGACCTGTTAGTGGCAAATTTTGGTAGCTATTGTCTAATAAGTAAATTTGTCTGCTGCTATTCTACTTTGAGGCTCATTAATTTATAAAAATGTTGAAAAAAGCAAGGTGTGAAGAATGCTGCTTTCCTCTGAGACACAAATACACATGTCTAAATTGAAGACAAGTTCAAATGAAATGCCTCTGTTATCCAAATGCCACATTTTAGGTTGTTCTACTTTCACAAATATTGCTGTGGCAGAACAGCTGTAAGAAAGGTGATACAGGGAGAATGCTAAACAAGAGAAATGATGCCTGTACCTTGCAGTTGCCATGCATTGGAAAGAGATGTATGTGGAAGGGGAGCACCCAGGAGCTGGAGGCAGCTCCAAGGAAATGCTGCCCTGAGAGACACAGGAGCTACTGCTGGGCCTCTGAGGACTTTGAAGGTGGAACAAATTTATATTGTAGGTAGAGGTGAACTCTGCATTCCACAGATGTGAAACTCATGCTAAGATGAGTCACACTAAAAACGGGAGGAAGTAGGTTCTTCCTCAACTTGAATCTCCCAGCAGTGACCTGGCAGGATTAAAAAATAGAAATAAAGGAATTAAAGGCAGACTTGCAAGGATCAAGGAAACGCTCAGCTTTGCAAATATTATCTGCTGGTGTAACAGGAGCAGGAACCAAGAGAGGGCAAGAGCAGAGCAACTTTGTTAACATCAGTAAGAAAAAAATGGCTTCTGAATGCAAACCCTGAGGACCAAAGATCAAAGTTCTGTGATCCATCCCCTTGGCCAGATCATGTATTGAAATAAAATAATGGCTCTGCCGGCAGATGCTACAAGTTAAGCAACTTTTTCATGCCAGAAATCTATGTAAAGAGCAATCATTCAAATGCAGGAGAAGAGTGAAAATTAAATAGCTGGAGATAGAGTAGTCAGAGAGCACCAAGGATGCAGAACAGCTAAAGATAATTAAATTACATAGAAATAAATTAGTTACCATAATGGTCAAATTAGGAAATAAAACACAGAAGCATAATCCTGCCAAGCCGTTGAGTAGAGCTGCAGAACTGGAACATAACTAAACTGACAAATGAGAGAGAGATTCATAGCTGTTGCCTAAATTTACAAACAGCTATGAGTATTCAAATTTTGCTGTCACATCTGAAAGCAATCAAAACTCATTCTGCCTGGACCTTGTTAAAATCCTAAATTTAGTTATTTTCTCTAAGGTTTCAAGGCAATCTTAGTAGATGGCTTTTACTGAAATTGTTAGACCTGATGGGATTTTTGAGTCCACTTTGCATCTCGGGCAAATTTGCACTCAAAAGAAGTTAGTGTCGGGAATATAAGAGATAAAAACTTGCTTATCACAACACCTGTGAGACAGATTGGTGTTACTTGGATGGCTTCAGTAATAACAAGCTCCACCTTTTTGTGTAGTTTCAGGGATCCCTGTTTCCCAGGCACAGGTGTGGGTTGGGGCTGTCCTGCCTGATTTTGGGCAAAGAATAAGCTATGGTCACCTCAGGCTTTGCTCAGCCTGTAGCCCTGCTTCAGACCATCCCGTGGGAGTGGGTGGCTCTGGGAGAGCTCCCATGGTGCGATCCATAGTGGATCACTGTCATCTCCAGCTTTTCATAGATGGCACTGCTGAATTGCTTGGCAGATAAACGTGTTGAGGTTGGTTGGTTTTTATTACCTGTTGCCTGTAGAATCCTTCCCATTGACTTGCTAAAGAGGCTGATGGCTATGAGACAGGAGAGGGGGAACCAACCCCTCTAGTTTTTGGGAGTTTGTCTGGGAGGGACAGGGACACCGAGAGATTAGAAGCCGGTAAGAGGAGAGCAGGGCAGTTGCTCACTCTCGCTCGCTCTTGGCTTCAGAGGAGGAAGGTTGCTGCTACCGCTGCCATCCCAATGCTGGGAGCTGCCTTCTTCTGCTCCTGGACCCCGCAGCCCAGCCCTGCCAGGACGCCCTGCCATTTCAGCTTGCTGCTTCCAAGCATTCTGCTGGAGAACCGAGACCGAGCCTGCACCAGGGTTGGTGAAGCAAATCCTCACTTTTCCATCCCTTCCCACTGGGACACAGCCGCCATCGCCACAGCGCCCCCTGCAGGCGTGGAGGAATCATCGCACCTGCCCTTCCCACCGGCAGCCACCAGCGCCCCTGCTGGATGTGCCGGGAACTGCACCGAGGGGAAAGGGCCCGCGGCCGACAGGGCTGAGCTGGGTTACTGCTCTGTTTGTTATTAATTCCATTGGTGGTGGTGCTTGTTTGCCTTGTTATACATACTGGGAAAGAACTGTTATTCCTACCCCCATATCTTTGCCTGAGAGCTTCTTAATTTCAAAATTATACTAATTCGGGGGGAGGAAGTTTACATTCTCCATTTCAAGGGAGGACCCTGCTTTCCCTAGCAGACATCTGTCTTTCAAACCGAGTCAAGATGGGGGAGGCTGAATTACCAGGGTGATGAGGGGATAGACGGGGTCCTGAGACCGTGCATTACTGGGGTTACCCTGCAGCCCTTCAGCAGCAGCAGCCCAGGCTGGGATATGCCAAGTGTGACAGGAGCCTGATGAGGTTTGTGCGTGTCACTGCTGAGTTAGAGTTGTATTCTTCACATGGACATGAACATCTAAGAAAGCATATAGCAGGTTATTTTCCTTTTTTTAATTTAATTTGAAACTGAATTGACCTTTCAGTGTGGTTCCATTAGCATCCCTGCTCCTACAGTTTGAAGCTCCTTTTTAGGCTGTTCTGTGTGCAGATCAGTCTGACTTTCATGGTGACTTTGAGCTGACTGGAAACAAATCTTTCTTTTATTTTTTTTTCTTACTTTTAATAGTAAGACTCCATGAGCTACATTTTGACCTTGCAGAGGAGAAAATATGAAGCAGTAGTAGCAACTGATGTATGGGAAAAATCTGGATATTAATAAATATAGCAATCCAAATGAGGCTAGAGCAACACAAAGAGATTGATGTTTTTTCTCAGGTCACAGTTTTGCCTCTGGCAGTATTAGCATGGATACCATTTATTCATCAGTGTGATTTTGTTTACAAAGGCAGATGTATTCCTACCTTTATTATATTTTGAGAATTTTTTTCCCCTCAGCTTAGAACTTGAGGACTCATAATTGTATAGTGAGGCTGCTAGCACTTGTTCATTTTTCAAGGGTGATCAAGAAATGAGGAATCTTTGAGTCTAACAGTAACTAGGTAGGATGGCCCACAGTGGAGGAGATATGGAAATTATTAGCTTGGCCTTTCTGGACGTTCATACTCAGCATCACAGGAACACTGCACAATCATTCATGATTTTCTGTCTGCTTTCCATTTTCCTTATTTTCACGAATCAAGTGAGAATGCCCTGCATTCATAATGAAAATCATTTTGATAGATAGGGTAGTGGGGATGCTCAATGTTATGAGAGAACAGTATTTTTAAGAATACTTTAAATAACATATTTAAGCAAACAGTTGGGCAGTCAGCACCTCCCACAGATATGAAATTATCTCTAGCTTCCAAGAGGGGAGAAAGTTTAATAATTTGACTTCTTTCATGAATAGTATTTATTGAAGTAGATAATATTTGTCTTCTCATGGAAATTGCTGACTTTTTTAAGGCTCTGACTTTAAAAAAAAAAAAAAAAAAAAAGACCAAAAGAACAAAACCAACCCAGGCTCCAAAGTATGTTCTGCTGAAAGAAAAAAAAAGGTATGAAAGTAAGTATTTTAAATCACTTTTCAGTAAACGCAAACTAAAGGCCAATTTTACTGTGCTAGGACATAAATGGCAGTTGAAATAAGCCAAGACATTGGCAGTAATGACATCTCCAGTGCAGCTGGCCCATAATCACAAATGGTTTTAGTGGGTTGTGTTTGCAGCTTTGGAGCTCTCAGTTCACCCAAGGTGATGCTGCCTGTGAATGTGTTAAGGAAACAGTGTTGATGTGTCAGTGTTCACCCTCCAGAAAGGCTTCCTGTGATCTATCTTTGCAAGGGCTTGGTCCTTTCCAGGCAGCTTCTGGATCCTCCTCACCCTTGGTGTGTGCCCACCACTTCCAGGTTAATTTTGCAAGCCTCTGTGATGCAGTTTTCTTTCCCAGCCACACGATCCTCAGGTAACAAAAGCCTGGATGCTCCTTGCAGCCTCTCCGTGTGCCACACCGGAGCTACTGCTGTGCCAGGAGCAGGATGCATCCTGGTGGATGGGTTGCAGTGAGTGAGTCAGAGCTGTTGCATAAGCTGCAACGGGGTAAACTTGGCCTACCAGGAACGTTCCCAAATCAGAAGTCTTCCCCCCACCCCAAAAATCCCAGGCAGAAAAGGTCCAAAGATTGCACGCGTCTTGGGTTGGTTTTGGTATTTTGGGGTGAACATAGTTTGCAGTTGAAGGATGATCCGTAATCTTCAGGGCTGGGAATGCAATTAAAAGGAAAGATGTGTTTTTATGTAGGCGTGTAATATTCTCAGGCTTGTGGCCTTGAGAGGAAACAGTAAATAGCGTATGAAACTCCATAAAATAGTAAGCATTGGCAGCTTTGTTCCTCGAGGATTATGCACCGGCCTAAAGAAGTAAAACTTTGTTATCTAATAGGATAGACAGGATCTTGGCAAAGATGAGACTGGCAGGTACTACACCTGGGCAGAGCATAGTCAACCTCATGTTTGGTATGATTAAAACTTTTTTGCTAGAAATTGTGTGATGAGACATTTTCAGCAGAGAATTCTCTTTGTAATTTGCAGAGATTATAAAAAAGTGGAAGCTTTTTTCCAAAACCAGTGAGGACCAAATACTACTTTTCTTCAATTGCACAAACTCTGCCTTCTTAGCCTTCCCAAAAGGTAGTAGATAAATTGGAGTTAAACATATAATTCTATTCTACTCAAGAACCAGCTACATCAATAAATCAGTATTTTCTTGCTACGTATGCAATATATAAATGGCACATTCACAGATGTCAAATAAGTTTCCCTAACTAAGGAAACTGCTCAACACACTTCAGATCTTCGTAGCAACGCTTAAAGTGCCACCCTAATAGCATCAGTGGAGTAAAAACTGTTTAGCAGAATAGCGCAGACTTTATATAGGGTCTTCCTCGGGCTGATATTTTTAGTCTTCAGACTTCAGCTATTCTTGCTGAATTAGTAGAGCCTTTCAGAATATGTTTTATTTCAAATCTGCAGTCTTGGCAGCAGCTTTCAGCTAGTTCTCTGGTCTATTGCAAACCTTACCTGTTTCCTTCATATAGAAAATATAGAGGGAAGATAAAGCATACAGGATTTAGCCACACTCTCAAAAATTCACAAAATATGGGATTTCTTGCTGTGAGAAAAACAGCTAAATGATTACTGCTTTATCTAGTAAAACGAATGTGTCCTATCCAACAGAGATGATAATTCTTACTGACCTGAATGCTTATAGATTTTACCCCTAAATATGTGATTTTCAGAAGAGCTCAGATCCTACTTCAGCATTTAAATGAAACTCTCATGGCTTCCAGCTGCTCTTTCCAAGTACTAGATACCCAAATGAGTATACCACACACACATACCTTGGTGTCTAAATCAGGATATTTAGGTGCTGGGCTCATTCAAAGATGAAGATCTTTGCACTAATAATGCAAAGTTGCACTTAGAGAGTTGCTGAAAAGCCTAGTGCTAACTACAAAAAGGAGTGGTGGCTTTTTAATGCTGCCTTTTTAGAAAGTGAATATCTACAATTACTCCTCTAAATTCTTATTTGGATACCCTGCTTTAAATCACATGCATATAGTTGCAGATGGAGAGACCACACTCATACGTACCCATTTTAGATTAGCATGGCATAAAAGCCAGCACGGTTAATACCAGCTATCACTAAGTAATAAGCTATTTCCACTAAATTGCTGCAGAACTGCTGCATTGAGAAGTGGATATGAGCACTGGGAGACAGTGCACTGATTCTTTTGTGCTATTAAGTGAATGATAAAAAAATTACTTGAAAAACAAAATGCTGGTGCACCAGGTTTTTGGTGTAAAAACTCTCCTTTTGATGGAAATGACAAGATCTTGAGCAGTAAAGGCACAGCTGGTGCTCACATCTGGGCTAGGAAAAAAGGACCAGTAATGAAGGGTTGCAGCAGAAATTGAGGGTCTTCCAAGGAAAAAAAGTAGAATATTTAGAGTTGTGGAAAGCCTTTTGTATGTATAATTGGGACTCTTCACTTAAGAAGATGAGTAGAAAATGAGGGGACGTTAGGATTGTACAAAGCAGTTCTGTGATTCTGTAAGCATCGAGGACAGGGATATAAATCTTTTATCATGGGACCCCTTGGCTTAAATGGAAAGGTTTTTATGAGACTCCATGCTCTTTTGTAACTGCCTGTAAGGATTTTTTGCCTAAAGGGGCCTGGTTTGGTCAGTGTTGAGGACAAGGTGGCTGACAGCATGGACTGCTGCTCCCAGTCACATTGGCAGCTTGTGTGGTCACTCTGTGGCTCTGACTGTCAAATAATCAAGTAGGTACTTGGTGTGAGATCTCTTCAGTTTAGCCCTCCACTTCTGCTTCTGAAAAGAACTGAACTCCAGGTCAGCACTGAAAAAATCTGAAGGAGATGAAAGTCAGTGAGGAAGAGTGAAAAGAAAGAGAAAATGACTATTTATAATCACCTAATAAATTGACTAATTTGTTGGGGGTATGCCTAAAGACCTGTTTGGATCTTTTGTGATGGGACATGTGCTTAGCTTGGAGAAGGAGACAATTATACTGTGAGAAAACTCAACAGAGCATATATGTTTGATACGATCTGCGCAATAACATAAATCTAGCATCTATGTCAAGATGATTTCAGCTGTCTCATACAGAAAGGCAGCTGGATTTTGGGATGAGGCCACCCACTGCCAGGAGAAAAATGCTTGAATTTTCAATACCTTTGATTCACGGGCTTTAGAAGGTGAGAATCATACTGTCACAGCATGTGCCTGAGAAGCATGTTAAATTTCCTACGTCTTGTCCTCTCCCCCTCTCTCACAGTCTGCTTCTAAATTGAACTCTGCAGATGAAACTTTAACTTTGTTTCTGATACCTCTACATAAATCCCCTGTTTTCCATTTTGACAGGAATTTTACCGAAGAAAAAAGAAAAAAAATGGATTTCTCCCCCCACCCCTTTCTCTGCAGCACTGACAGTTTTGTGCTTGTCTTTTCTTGAAATATCTAAGTTAAGTCTATTGAGGAGCAAGGTGTAAAAGCAGCTTTATAACCTCTACCCACAACACAAGACCCTCCTCTCTGGAACCTCCACCTCTCATACCTATTCTTGCAAACCACCTGGAGCAATATTTCTGCCTCATAAATCTGAGCCTTTAAGAGTGGCAGCGTTGCATGCACTGCTCTAGCTGAAGTAGTCTATCTGGCTGATTTTTCTGATAATGCTTTTTTGATGTGTTGCTGGTAAATGGCTTTATTTGTAAGAGATTATGGTCACGGCAAAAATCCCAATAGTGACAAAAATAACTATTACAGGCAACACTGGATTTTCCACTCATTTGTAGTTTACCTTTAGCCTCCAGTTAAGCTTGCTGCCAATTATTTTTTTGGTGCCTGCTATACACAGACCACAGAGGGTTTTGTTCTTCCTCTGTCTAAAGTCCCACACCATCAATTAGAACAGGAAGACAGGTTCCTCTGTAGTATTTGAATCCAAGCAAACCTAAAACAAGCAATGTTTTGCTAATCTTTACATGCACCTGCAGAGGAACAGAGGCTGCACCTGGGTGAAAAAAGTTACCACTAGCTTTTAATGTGCAAAGCTCTTAAATGCAGCAATTACACAAGCAAATTGTGAGGGGGTGTGGTTTGTTGGTGACTGCTTTTATTGTACCGTATCATATTCAGAAAATGAATCATCTGATACAGAAATGGCTCTTTAGGGATCAACATATGCACCTGAGCCTACATCTGCATTTAAAAGATAGGAAAGAGATCTTTTACAATCTAGCTGGATGAATAATATTGCAAATCCATGGGGTTTTGGCAGGCAATTAATCAAAAAATATCCATATTTAGGTACTTCGGTGCTAGGCACCAACCAAGAAGTCTACTTTTTCTGTATAGTAACTCTTAGGGCTCTGCATTTTTACCACATCTAGAAATTAGGCTGCTGGCGTTGATGCCTGTGTTTATTTCCAGAGTCTGTGTAGTTGGATGAGCTATAGCACAACGGTGGAAGCCCTTTCCCTTTAGAGAAGGAAACAGCAGTTGTGTAGTGGCAACAGCAGCAGGCAGGTCTGTGCTGGCACATGGACTCACATTGTCACATGGATATGGCAAAATAGCTGTCAGAGCCTTTGAGAAGTCCTGATCCAGATGAAGCCTAGCTGTGTCCCTGTGTGTTTAATGCACAGCTTCAGAGGTTTCTGGCACACAGCAGCTTGCTTTTCAAAGCAGACTAATTAATCATAACCACCAAGAGAGCAGAAATGGCCATTCGGGGTAAATGAGAGTGTGAGAGCAGTGAAGCTGTACAAGCGTGTTGGTGGAAACTGGCCTTAGGAGGGGTGCTGTGGATGTAAACACCCCTTACTATGCATATTGCCTAATTGTATGAACAGAGTGTTTCCTGGTGTGTCCCTTTAATTTCCTTCTGGGGAAAGACTGGGTTTTTTTAAATAGTACTTTTGGAATATTGATATCACCAACACTTTATTTGTCCCTTTCAGTCATGGTGCGAGTTGTTGATAACTCTGTCCTTTGGCTTGTCATTGTCCTGTATAAGCTATTGCTCAGGACTGTAGCATTTCCTTCCCTGCACATGAGATGCTCTGCAACATGTCAGTCTGTGCAAAGCGCCAGCATAGCTGTCCTCATCAGTCAGCCCAGAAGTTTTGGCAACAGAGTTTAATGACAAGCACAAATGCTCACATCTAAAG